GCGTGACTTCCATGCGATAGGAGGCTATCGCTCTCCAGATCATGGACACGGGCGTGACTTCCATGTGATAGGATGCTACCGCTCCCCCGTGCGAGGTATTTCCACATCAGGCGTGACTTTCATTCAGTAGGAAACTATCGTTCCTCTGGTTATGGACACGGGCGTGACTTCCATGCGGTAGGAAGCTACTGTTCCCCTGACCATGGACACAAGCGTGACTTCCATGCTGTAGAAGGCTACCGCTCCTCCGTGCGAGGTATATCCATATCAGGCGTAACTTCCATGCGGTAGGAAGCTAGTGTTCCTCTGGTTATGGACACCGGCGTGACTTCCATGAGGTAGGAAGCTACGGCTTCCCTGATCATGGACACAAGCATGACTTCAATGCTGTAGAAGGCTACCGCTCCCCCGTGCGAGGTATTTCCATATCAGGCGTAACTTCCATGCGGTAGGAAGCTACCGTTCCCCCGTGCAAGGTATTTCCATATCAGGCGTGACTTCCATGCGGTACTCGGCTATCGCTCTCCTGATCATGGACACGGGCGTGACTTCCATGCGATAGGACGCTACCGCTCCCCCGTGCCAGGTATTTCCAGCTACCGTTCCTCTGGTTCTGGACATAGGTGTGACTTCCATGCGGTAGGTTGCTACCATTCCCTCATGCAATATGTTTTAATATCTGATAATATAATTGAGAAACATCGTGGCCATTATTATATTGTTTTATGATCAGTATCAAGACAGCTAATTAACATAATGAATTGACAGTAGAGTTTTGCATGTCAGAGCCGGTAGAATATGGAAGGTACTCAAACAATGTTTTCCCAAAAATAGGCTGGGCCTAGACAACCCAGTTCTATCGACCCTGTTTCTCGTCAAGAAAGCACAACTCCGCTGTCGTCACATCACCAAGTAAGTGACTTTGAAATTATGATTGAAGCTCTGGTTAAGTTATGTACCACCCTTATAATAAAAGTGAAAATATACAGGGTAGTATCTCGAATATACATTCAACAAATTTGACAGTTTGTCATTGAAACATCACCAGCTTATTGAAAGAAACTACATATAATTCAGTCAAAATGTAAAAAAAATGATTGATTTTTTAATAAAATTCATGTTTTTTACTATTGTTGATTGTTTGTTCATGTTTATATTATTTTGATTTAACATCACCTACCGTGTGTTTTTTTCCTATAAACCTCTTGCAGATAGCCATTAAACATCTACTTGATGACAAAGACTCTACCAAAAATTCCATAAATATTGCTCGTTTTAAAACATTCATTCATCTACTTGCCGTTCATCAGTACCATTATGGCACCTTAGATTGATGTTCGCATAAAACCATTCAGGATTTTTGTTATCCAGAGTTGAGTATTTTTCGTTGTTCAGGAAGTGAACAAACATCCACTCTATATTTTCAGCGATTGAGAAATACTCAAATACAGGGTGGCCAAACACGTGACGTCATAAAAAAAAATTAGATTCCCCACATCGAGAGGAACCCAAATCACCCCCATATATATGGTCCGATTTTGTTTAGTTTAGGAGTTATGATTTTTTTTCGGATTTTTCGAGAATTTTTGAGTTCTGTGTTTATTTTTACCATAACTTCGTTAATAATTGTGATAAATGCCTCCTTTTTTCACGATTATGTAGCTAAGACCTAAGGCTTAACTATCATATAATCATTCAAGTCATGTAACTAATACTACTTTTTAATTTTTTTCAAAATCTTCGAACATAACAAAAAAGTAAAAAAGTGCAACAAATTTGAACGTTTATAAAAAATTGAAAAAACATGTTCTTACTATTCGTAAGTATCTTAAAAACTTCCTTACGGTATCAGCTATTTACCGTAAAAATTTCATCAACCTAGATTTACCACATGCTACCGTAATTGTGGCTCAAATAGAACCGAACCCAAAATTGGATAACCCTCTGCTCAATAGAAATTGTTAGTTTCGGAAAAAAAATTTGCAAAAACCACAAAAACACGTTTGATTTTTACTGAACAGCAGATTATTATTCATTTATGTTATTTACAAGAGGTTTTCAAAATGTCTGCCTCTAACAGAAATGCACAGTGTACACCTACGTATGAAATTTTGTTTTAAATCTCTAAATGCTTGTGTGTTGTTTTTCAACACATGTGTCGCTTCTTGAATTTTGTTCCTCAATGAATTTTCATTTGCACATTCTTGGGCGAATGTTATGTCTTTAAAATATCCCCAAACCAAAAAATCAATGGGGTTGAGGTCAGGGGAGCGTGGAGGCCATCGTATCGGTCCGTTTCGTCCGATCCATCTGTCTGGGAACCTTTCGTTTAAGTAGTTTCGCACGATCGTTGCGTTGTGGCATGGTGCACCATCATTCTGGAACACCATGTTCTGTCTGGCTTCCAGGCTTGAATCTTCCAGCAATAATGGTAGGCTATTTTCAAGGAAGCTTTTGTAGGCTACCGAATCCAATCTTGACGGCAGTTCAAATGGACCGATAAATTCCATATTGAATATTCCTGACCACATGTTCACACTAAAACGGTGTTGAAATGTCGATGCATTATTATTATGGCGTTGCTCAAGGCAACGGCGCTTTAGCAGCTCAGCTGTACCGGGAACAACTTATACGCCGAGGCGGACCACAACCTGAGCATTACCCAGACCACCGTGTTTTTATTAACACACATAACACTTTCATGGCAGGCCGCATTCCAGGACGAGGAAGCAATGAAGGATATCCTACAGCTGATCCGGATCGCAGAGAAGTAGTACTTGAAGAAATTAGCCGGAATCCCTCAACGAGTACGAGATCTATGGCACAAAACCTTAGAATACCACGAACATCGATACAAAATATTCTTCATGAAGAAGGTTATCATGCCTATCATGTTCAAAGAGTTCAAGCGTTGATGCCTTCAGATTACCAGTTAAGAGTGGATTTCTGCGAGACAATGCTGCGAAGACAACGAGAGGATCCCGAGTTTTTTGATAAAATTTTATGGACTGACGAGTCACGTTTTGAAAGAACAGGGATATTCAATATCCATAATTTACATACTTGGGCTGTTGAAAACCCCCACCAGTCAAGGCCGTCGACATTTCAACACCGTTTTAGTGTGAACATGTGGTCAGGAATATTCAATATGGAATTTATCGGTCCATTTGAACTGCCGTCAAGGTTGGATTCGGTAGCCTACAAAAGCTTCCTTGAAAATAGCCTACCATTATTGCTGGAAGATTCAAGCCTGGAAGCCAGACGGAACATGGTGTTCCAGAATGATGGTGCACCATGCCACAACGCAACGATCGTGCGAAACTACTTAAACGAAAGGTTCCCAGACAGATGGATCGGACGAAACGGACCGATACGATGGCCTCCACGCTCCCCTGACCTCAACCCCATTGATTTTTTTGTTAGGGGATATTTTAAAGACATAACATTCGCCCAAGAATGTGCAAATGAAAATTCATTGAGGAACAAAATTCAAGAAGCGACACATGTGTTGAAAAACAACACACAAGCATTTAGAGATTTAAAACAAAATTTCATACGTAGGTGTACACTGTGCATTTCTGTTAGAGGCAGACATTTTGAAAACCTCTTGTAAATAACATAAATGAATAATAATCTGCTGTTCAGTAAAAATCAAACGTGTTTTTGTGGTTTTTGTAAATTTTTTTTCCGAAACTAACAATTTCTATTGAGCAGAGGGTTATCCAATTTTGGGTTCGGTTCTATTTGAGCCACAATTACGGTAGCATGTAGTAAAGCTAGGTTGATGAAATGTTTACGGTAAATAGCTGATACCGTAAGGAAGTTTTTAAGATACTTACGAATAGTAAGAACATGTTTTTTCAATTTTTTATAAACGTTCAAAGTTGTTGCACTTTTTTACTTTTTTATGTTCGAAGATTTTGAAAAAAATTAAAAAGTAGTATTAGTTACATGACTTGAATGATTATATGATAGTTAAGCCTTAAGCCGGGCACATACATGCGGTGTTCGGCGAATAGCAAATATTTGGCATTCGACGAGCAACTCGGTAGCTATTTGTTATATGGCGAGCACGACCATACACACGTGCGGCGTAAATGCCGAATATTGCTCGGTATGGAAATAATGAATACGAACAACGATTAATGTACGAATGGTGAAACATTGATGACTGATGCTGCTGCTTTTGTAGTTATGAGTGGTGCTTATTTACAGTTATTAAAAAAGAAGTCTAGGAGAAGAAGTAGAAGAAGGTGGTGGATGGTATCACTTAATCAAAGTAGAGAAAGGTAAGTAACCTTGGCAGCAAGTAAAATCACAAAAATTAAAAAGATATAAATTTGTCAAAAGTAAAAAAACTCGTTTATGAAAGGAAATGGATATTATTGCATAATTTGATGTAGTTTTCAATTCCTACTTTCTTAATTTATTTGCAACTCTGTATATTCAGCAATAATTTTGGTGGTATTTTTTTTTAATTTCCTATAACCTCCAAATATCCTGTAAAATTGTTTAATTGTTTATTACCAATACTAAAATTACTTAAAAATATAATGTTTTTTTAGATATAGTGGAACTCATCTGATGGCAGATTTATTAAAGGAACCATCTGGCAGATTTGAAAACTTCTGCAGAATGTCCTTTGAAGATTTTGAAGAACTTCTTCAAAAAATAGAGCCAGTGATTTCTAAAAAAGATACAAGATTGAGAAAAGCTATTCCGGGAAAAGAACGATTAGCCTTAACTTTGAGGTTTCTAGCGTCGGGAGACAGCTTTAAGAGCCTACATTATTTGTTTAAAATATCAGCTCAACTCATTTCCTCCATAGTTCCAGAAGTATGCAGTGCTTTAATAAAAGTCCTGAGTAATGTAATACAGGTAACATTTTTATTTGGTTATTTTATAAGAAGGTAGAGAAGTAATATTTCTACAAAAGTAAAAAAACATACATATAAAGTACATATCAAATGTTTATAATTTTATCTGAAACTTGTATAACACTACTTCAAACTTTCAAATTGTGACTCATCAGATGGGGAACATTGTTGAGTTTCTTGAAACGTCGCAGAACTTTGATAAGGTGATGGTGGTTGGGAAAGTCCAGTGGCAAAGTTGGTAGAAGATTGTGGACTACTAAACGATGCTTCAGAAGGCGATGATAATGGACTACATTGCGGGTTCACAGAAGTTAAAACAGTTACATTTTGATTATTAGTAGGCATGAACGGCTGATAATGTAGTGGCATATTCAAATTCATTTTCATTTCAAAAAGAAGGTTATCAATTCGATTTATTGCAATGTCCCTAGTTCTCTCATCAAACTGTTTCAATCTTTCAGCAACCAATTCCCCATATTTGTCACAGAAATCTTTTCCTTTTGCATTTTTTTGGGCATTGCTTTGCATAATAGTATATGCCTCATCTACTTTTCTTTTTAGTTCAACCTCTTCAGTCACTGCGCAGGACGCTTGAAGGAAGACTTCGAAGTAGATGGCAGTATTTCTGCAAGACAATAATTTTTTAAAAGATGAAATTTTATTAAAAAATGCGTTTACCATCAATTAGGATATTTTCATCTATTTCAATTATGTTGTCAGGAATATTTTCAGTATGATTACTTCCGTTAGCGCTTACATCGTTCGGAGTTGTTTCATCCTGCGACAGCTGTGATGCGAGGTTCTGAAATTTGAAAATAAAGTGATAAATAAGAAAACCACATTATCCATAATTTTAATTGTTACTTTCATTTTATACTATTATATTAATATAATGTATAAGGCTATTTTCTATTATTATTAGAAAGAGTAAATCCGGTAATTGTAGCTAAAATTTGAAACACAAAATTTTATCTGAATTACTAATAATATTAATAAATGAATTAAGTATAGTACTACTCCATAAAGGCACTGATTGGTATATATTAAAGGCATTTTCTCATTTATGTTTTCAGATCCCATCAAATGAAAGCGAATGGAAGAATATAGCCAAACAGTTTGAAAATATATGGAATTTCCCTCACTGTATTGGTTCAATGGATGGGAAACATATTACAATACAGGCTCCAATAAACAGTGGATGTGAATTCTATAATTATAAACAATATTTCAGTGTAGTGTTAATGGCTCTAGATGATGCTGATTATAATTTTATATTTGCTGATTGTGGTTGTCAAGGAAGACTAAGCGATGGTGCTGTTTTTCGAAATACAGAACTTAAAAAAATCGAAAATAACGGACTGCATTGCCCTTCAGATGAGCCATTACCAGGGCGAAATATTCCAATTCCATACTTATTTGTGGGCGATGATGCATTTGGATTATGTAAACAAATCATGAAGCGTTATCCAGGTCTACATGAAAAAGGAAGCAAAGAAAGAACGTTCAACTATCGTTTGTCAAGAGCACGTCGCGTCGTGGAAAACGTATTTGGCATTATGGCTTCTACTTTCAGAGTCTTAAGGAAACCAATGTTACTTCAACCAGAAAAAGTTTCATTAATCGTAATGACTTGTGTCCTCTTACATAATTTTTTACGAAAAAGCAGATCATCGCGTTCGAACTATTCCCCTCCCGGAACGTTTGACTCTGAAGAAGATGGAAATATTACACCTGGTGCATGGCGTCAAAATCAAGATAATATGTCAAGTTTACTCCCACTGCGTAATATCCCAAGAAAGCCCAGCATGGAAGCAAGAACTATTAGAAATGAGTTGGCAGAATATTTTATGAGCAACGGAAGAGTATCTTGGCAAGATATATATTGTTAATGCTTAATTTTTTTTATATAAACACGCAAGTTTTCAATAAAAATATTTGAAGAAAAGTAGGTATTTATTACTTACCTCTGAATTTATTGTATTCCTTGCCTCATTCTTATTTTGAAGGAAACTGGCCATTCTTTCGTAAGCGAACCAATTTGGTTTATATATGTCTTCTGTACCTGCTCCACTTTTTGTAGATTCTTTAACTTTATTATTACAAGCCCTAAACGATGCCATTAGGGAATCCTTTTTCTTTTTTAATTCTGTGACAGAGTATTTTCCACCCATATTTTTCTCTATTCTTTTCCAAGCATCGAATACAAGATTTCTGTTTTTATGATCACTCAGCCATGGATTCCAAATTAATGATTCTTGTTCATAGAAATCCAAAAATTGTAATACTGTTTCATTACTCCACTCCATTTTAAAACGAAAAATAAACTGAAATTTCTCCACAAATAGCGAATAGCTTCTCGAATGTCTGCATCGACACAAAACGCAATTATTCGTCAGCTTTGAAGCGGCACAAAATACCGACAAGGACTGGGAAACGGCCAAATACGATTAATCGGCACGAGCAACCATAACAGACAAGTCGGTACTCGTCGAGTTCCGATTACTTGTTATTCGCCGCTCGCCGATTACCACATATCTGTGCCCGCCTTTAGGTCTTAGCTACATAATCGTGAAAAAAGCAGGCATTTATCACAATTATTAACGAAGTTATGGTAAAAATAAACACAGAACTCAAAAATTCTCGAAAAATCCGAAAAAAAATCATAACTCCTAAACTAAACAAAATCGGACCATATATATGGGGGTGATTTGGGTTCCTCTCGATGTGGGGAATCTAATTTTTTTTTATGACGTCACGTGTTTGGCCACCCTGTATATGTCGTAAAGCTGTCAGCAAACCTAAAACCTGCAAAATAGCTAGTATTTGCAATAATTTTCTTTTTTCACTGAGTTCACGTTCTAAATTATATTAGACATTATTTGAATAACTGCTGATTATCTCCTGATATTTCAAAACTCCCCATACCGACAAGTGGCACATAATTTTGTGGGATCCGTCAACGCTTGGTCCCAGTGGACCAACTGTTGAAATATCTATATTCTACTATGCTTTATAAGGCTCTATGTGGAATTTTCCCAAAATCGTTGCACAACACTTGAAAAAATGCAAATGAAAATTTCAAAGTTATTCCCAAATGGCTCCGTCAGTATCCCGGGTTATACATCTTGACAGTAGGGATGTTCGATACGGTGCGATATTTACGATATCGATACACTTCACGAGTATCATCTTTTTTCGATCCGGACTGTGTCAGAAAGAGTGACTAACTTCAGGCTACTTTTCTTCCTTGTTTCCTTCCGCTGGTGCTACTCACATCACGGCCTCACATAATTTATTTTGGATTCCAGGGTTGCCACATTAGGAGGTTTTCCCCAAAAATCAGGGAATTTTTATTTCAATGGGGAAGATTTTTTTTCTGGGGATTTCTTTTGGGGAAAAATATTTTACTGGGTAAATCAATGACATTACATAATGTACTTGTTATGTATATATTTGTCTTTCGAATACTTTTGTTCCTTTTGAGGCATTTGGAGACATGCCAAAAATATGTTGCTCAAAAATTATTTTAAGACCGAATAATACGTAAGTAATCGTAAGTCTATGGCAACAAAAAATAAATGGTATTTTTTGGGGATTCTTTGAATTTAGGGGATAAGCTAAACAACCTAGCAACCCAGTTGGATTCGGTTTCGGGGAATTACACAAACATGACACACAGTGTTTTAGTATTGATTAAACATTATAATTTAAAAGAAAACATTATTGTGATAGTGATGCCTCCTGTAAGAAGTGATTTGTGGAGTATAGGTGGGAGATGTGAGTTATGCAATTGTGAAGTTTTTACATATTCTTATTAGCGGACGTATTTCACAATCTAGTCATGCAGTTGAAAAAATAAACATTATTTTGAGGGTTGTAGAAGAAATAAGTTTTCGGTAACGCATCATTTTATTCCGATATTTTAGAGTAACGATACTTCCTAAAACGATAAGAATCGATGCATATCGATACTTTTTGTGGATCGAAACACCACTTATCTTGACAGCTTGTCGTTCTTGTCAACTGGGCTGCGGGGTGCAGTGTTGCCTTTACTATTTTACATTTTGCTAAAATCTTATGAAAAATAGAAGCTTCAAATGAAATATTAACGAATATGAATGGATATGCCATAAAATCTAGATTATAAATTCATATTGCAAGTTTTAGATTGTCTATGCATTTTCTTGAACCGGATTTTTCGGTACTTTTACCGAACTGAGAATATTTACCGAAAACGTCATTTTCCACGATTTATCAAAATAATTCAAATATTTATATACTTGCCAAAAAAGAGCTGGAATCAAAAATAAAGCTAAAAGTTAATTTTATGTAGTCTTCGTAGTTTTATGCCCCTTATCAATCTTACTTATGCAATTATGCATACACTCTGAGGCAGTCGGGCACATGAGAGGCGTAGATTTGAGCTCCGCTTGCCCTGAATTGATTTGTGTGCGTACAAAAGGTATAGACTGATAGATTACCGTCACTACCGCATCACCGAACCAGCAATAAAGAAACCGAAACCTGGCTGTTTTCAAGATAAATATTTAATCAAAATGTGAGGTGAGCTATAAGCAAGCATCGAAAAGGAGTTTCCAGAATGGTTGCAAAGGATTTTGAAACAGAGACCAATATGCGCATTGTATAAGTTGTAATATAGCACTATGCCCTTAAAAAACATGTTGTGTGCTCGCTCAATACAATAATAAACGTTTTTTATAGACGACGCTACTTGATTCACCACTGATCTTGGGACGGCATTTTCCCTATACCGAATTCAACGACAGATCCCAGAGGTGTTGATAATAATAATAAAAGTAACAAGAAAATATAACAAGTTTTGCAAATATTTTCGTAAGTATTTTTGATTCTGACATACTATCTAGACAATAAATAATAGGTGGATACATTTACAAATATCGATGTTTCAGGATCCAGAAATGCAATGTGCTCTTTTGTTTACATTTGGTGTGGATTTCTAGATCATAAATTCGTAATAAATTATTTTTGGTGTAACAAAAGATGATGAACTAGTTGGAATACGTTTTCTTTTATTTCAAAATAAAAAAATCGGTACATTTCTACAGGTACGTACTATGTACGATACCCTGTATGTGATATAGAGATACAACTAGATTGCCATGTATCGACAGTCGTCAAAACAGCGAAAACATCCTATTAAATATAATAGCTAGAAAATCGACCTATTATTTCTTGCATTGTCATTGGCCCATTCAAATAAGTTCCCTATCTTTTATAAAATGATAGAAACTGGCAATTCTATGAAAGTTATCGTAATTCTAAAGCTCAAAGACATAATATTACATCGAGAATGTAACCTTATTTATAAAGCAACTGGTTTTTCACGATTTTATTCAATATTTGAATAGAAATTACTGATATAAGGAGAGCTTTGGCAGCTTCCCTCAAATTGCATTTCGATAAGCTGCTCCCTTATTGGTGGAAGCCTCCGTCAAATTTAAATTTTACTGAAATCGGCTCTTAGGTCCGTATCGCCAGTCGTTCCTACAATTGTAGGATGCCTTTATGGCCTCCTTGATTGTCATAGTTTTCAACTTTTCCGTGTCAGCGCTCTATTTTGAGGTTATGTCACAAATATCTGTTTACATCAAATTGTGCGTACTTTTGATTTATATCATGTTTTATCAGCCTGAAATTGCCTACGATTTAAAAAGAAAACATATCTCCACAATAGGAGAGCGCTGACGCTGACACAGAACAGGTGTAGCCTAGAAATTTTTGAAGGAGAGAAGAGAGTATGACAATCAAGGAGGCCATAAAGGTGCCCTACAATTGTAGGAACGACTGACGATACGGCCCTTAGACTACCAATACTTCTATTTTTTTACAAAGGAACTTATATTTGTGAGGTTACGTTATACATTCCGTTCCTTCTCTGGGTACTTGTTCCCAGGATAAACTTTCTTAAAAATGCAGGCGTGGCTCGCATCACAGTTCAAATAGTACGTGAAAGCCATCGCTTCTCAGACCAGGTACTGCGCACTGTGGACCTAATTACAGTGTTACAGTGTTATTGGGTGTAGTGTTTTGGTTGCCTGAAAGTTGAGCAATCACAGAGTATTTCCTTTACTTTGCTGTACTGCATGGATTGATAACTATAACAATTTTACATTCATGATCATGAATCCCGTAAGCCATATTTGTAAAGAAGCTTTAATAGTATAGCTCTATTTCTAAAGATGCTTTGAGCATAATATATTCACATTCATAAAGATGCTTTGATCATATATTCATATTTTATAATGAGGCTCTGATGATATATAAATATTTATAAAGATGCTTTGACCATATATCCATATTTATAAAGATGCTTAGATCATGTATCCATATTTCTACCAATGGCTTTACGGACTCAATAGTTGCGGATAAGGATAGGGAAATTGGGTAGCTCATACAGGCGTGACCGGTTAGCCATCTTTTCTTGGTAATCGCTGGCATCTGAATGTAGCTCATGGCAGGATGTGCGTAGGGATTGTTATTTTAAAGCTTGTCATCTTGCTCGGTTATTATTTCTGATTAAGAGGTAATGTCGGAGCCGTTGGATATCGACACAACGGCCGTTGGCCAACGTGATATCCTGGAACCTGAACTGCTTTTCGTAACAATTGTTAAACTCAGCATATCTGTCTATACGCCTCGGGATCAACACAGGTTGCTGTGTGCTTAAAACTATGTTCATCACATAGGCTGCTATGTGCTTAAAATTGTCTAAGTGGAGGACTGTGTGTCCCAAGGGTCTGAGGGCCAGTATTTGATGAATCATAAATAGATAATGATGGATTTTTACTACTGCGGATAATTAACGTAAACCTAAGGTAGTGCATGTTATGAGTCGGTTGAACATGGGAGGTACTCAAGTCATTTTTCTAAAAATAGATAATGACCCCGACAATCCGATCATATCGCCCTTATCGCTTGCCAAAGGAGGATAACTCGTTGCCGTTCCCTCACCAAGAAGTGGCTTTAATATTATCCTGACATTGTTGCCCATATCGAATTATTTAAGTACAGCCCATGTAGTAAAAATGAAATGGTACAGGGTGGCACTTCGAAACCTTCTAAGATGAGTTTGTGGTTTTCACGTGTATCGTTCTATTCCATTATTATCAAAGCTCGTTCGTATCT